CACCGTCAACAATCTCATTCAACTTGGCTTCGGCCTTTAATATTTACAAAAACAGAAAATTAACAAACTATAGTGTGGCATCAGCCTTAACTATAGCACCACGGGATCGCCCTTTGTGGATTTTACCAAAAACAACTTCTTTGAACAATGGCATCGGCCTTCACAATTTCAACAACTTAAAATCAACATTTATGTAGGATTACCCTTCGTGGGATTTACTTACTCAAAACACGGGATTACCCTTCGTGGGATTTACCGTTAACAACTTCTTCTACCCTTCGTGGGATTTACCTATTCACATCACGGAATTACCCTTCGTGGGATTTACCGTTTACAACTTCTTCAAACTTCATCGTATAATCGGACTTACTGTAGATTCATGCTAACAACTGAGTTGGTTAGACTCTGAAATTATAGGCTAAGATAAGGGAAACATACTGCACAAACTCCTCAATAAGCACCTTCACATGAAAATTTTGAGCTGGGCATTTCGACAGACACATGAATTGCGCATAGGTCTAATCTTTCTCTCATAGAAGAGAACAAAGTACAATCAAAGAATTCAATCACACAGTTCTTCAAGCAATTAAAATCCAACTTTCAATTCTTACAGACTTATCAAACATCTTGATTAACAATTTCAACTTCAAGATTAACAGTATTCAACACTGGAATCTTCAGAACATCAATCCATTGGCATCGACCTTATCATTCAATTAACAAGAACTCATATTTCATCATCTTTCAACATATGACATCGGCCTTCACACTTAATCATGCATAAAATCCCACAGTATATGTTTAAGACATTTTCACAAACAACATATACGCAGAAAAGGATTAAAGATATAGAAAACAACCTGAACCCCGAAATCGACAATCTTAGACCCATCAGAGTCAACCAAGATGTTTCCGGGCTTGATGTCGCTGTGGAAGCGTCTGTGGCCATGGAGATACGACATGGCATTTAGCGTCTCTCTCAGGACGACTGCAATGCTGGTACCCAAATCAAATCGCCAAGCGATTCTGCTTCCCGAGAGATCAAACTGATGAATACACCATCAATACAACAAGAAATTGATTCAACCCAACAAGACCCTCAAGAAATTGGACCAACCCTTCAAGAAACAGAGCCACCTGGAACATGCTGGTGGCACCAAGGATCTCCACAAGAGCGCTCCTTGTCAGCCGATTCGCATCCACAAAAATAAAAAACTGAGTAAGAAATTGATTCTGCTTCCTTCACCGATTTGGAACCAAAGAGAAGAAGAAAACACCGAAGAACTTGACGGAAAATTCAAGAAAATTTGAAGAGAAAATCTAATGAAATAAAAACGATGAAAATGACGAAATCTAATGAAAAAAAAAACGGAACCACCAGAATCATGGCATGAGCCTGGTGGCTCTGATACCATGTTAACTACATTGTTGTGTTTGGGAATTGAAAGGAAAATCAAGAACAATGGATGAAGAGAAGGATGAACACAGAGATATTAGAGAGAGAGAGAGTTTAGAGAGAGAAATAGGATTTGTATTAACTAACACAAATGAAGATTACACATACTGTTTATATAGAAATCCTAACTATTTTAACCAAATACTAACTACCTAACTATATTACTAACTGTATTACATTTTTACCCTTAATAATCCCCAGCTTTGCTTGCTGCAAATGATGTTGTTGTTGCTGCAATTCTGAAAAAGTGAGTCTAATCAGCGGTTTTGATTACACAAAGCAATTGAATACGAGATTACACCAAGAAACATGTTTCAAACCAACTCATGCTTAATGAGTTTATTCATGCAGTAGGGATCGGATAAACAGAGTACAGAAGAAAAGGAGAACATTTTTTTTTTCTCCCACCAGCACAGAACTCACTGATGACTTTTCGCCGAAAGAAACTCAGTTATGGCAGGTAAGCAGTAAGCTACTCATATCTTTCACTCCCTTCCGGTGGAAAGATTCTCGAGTAGAGACTTCGGTTCCATGTCACTCACATGCCCAAGACACACAAGAGAGACAGAGATTCTTCCGTGTAAACGGGACATATCTCCCTCTCTCCATCAGGCATAAAAATCCGAGAAACAGAGAGAGGGATATACCCAAGTTACACCAAAAAATTTGCGTTTTAGTAGGCAAAACAAATTTTTCAGAAGGATGTGATGTGAGCTCCGGGAGTAGGTTGTGTGTGGAGAAGGTGTTTGTTGTCATTGTCGATGACTTTCATGTACAAAAGTAGAGAAAGAAACGTAAACTATGCAGTCACATTGTTTCCCACTCCACTACTAGTCCGACAACCATAGCAAACAAGAGGGACTTGAGCAACACCAGACAATAATCATCGGAAGTGTATATATTATAATTATTTGATGCTGTTCAAGTACCTCCCATTTACTATGGTTGTTGTTGGACTAGGAGTAGGAAACAAGGTGATTTCCGTTCTCTTGACCAAAATGAGCAGATCCAAGTGCACCGGAAATCTCTTCACTTTGTGGTTCGGCCATTTTGTTTTGTTTTGGGTTGCTATATATTGGTAGTACTAACCATTCAAATAGTTTGAACCCTAGCTAGTACTAACTACTAACCCTTCAGAAAAGTGTGATTTCCTAAACCCTTCGAGGAAAAGTGTGATAGCTATACGGTTGTTACACTAAAACCTCTAATTCACTTACGTTCACACCCTAGATTAATGTTGCGAAAATTAGATAACCAAAATTAACCTCATTAAGTCTTGAATTTTAGTGCTCGCAAGTATACGAATCAGATTATAGTATAGCTTTGAAGCACATATATCGTCCCACAGAGATCGAATTGATTCTAAAAATCTTACTAACTAAATTGAAACAAATTATAATGGAGAAGCTTTAACGGAAAATATATGATATTTTGACTTAAAATGAAAATTAAACGAAGCTTAAAAATAAAATGCATGAAATAATAAATTTAAAAACATAAGAAAAATTGCACCTAGGGCATCCGAATTCACCGTAACCAATTCTACTTAATTCCCTTAATATGTTATGCTCAAGTAGTTCCCCAATATTGATGATCGATTTTCCCTAAATTATTCAACGGCCATGGCATTTGATTACATCATAAGTATCCTTACATGTTAACCCTCTATGGCATCTAGATGAATTTAAACAAGTAAGAACCCATTAATCTCTACGGAAATCGTTGGAAAATCACAAAAACCCTAATTGCATGGCATCTACAAATAGGTGTTTATGGTATCAATTGCAAGAAGCTAAACCCAAGTTAAGTATGGCATCTAATCTAACTTGCATCAAATCAACTTAACTAAAACTTAGATAGTGATCAAGCATCTAAATAAAAATCAAGCGCATTACGCAAAAGATACTCAACAAGGAAGAAAAACTTGATAACAACAATGCCACAAGGCAATTAAGTATTCATGATTAGGCTACATCATAGCCCTAGAAAAGAAGAAACAAACTAGAAAACTCTTCCCTTTTCCCTTTCTTGCCGCAGTCCCCCTTTGGAATATGAATTGTGTTTTTTTTTTGTGGCTTTCTAACTCTCCACAAGGAGAATTGATCTCCTTAATATTACCTCACGGCAAGAATTGGAAAAGTTGATAGAAAATGCCAAATAAATGACCACTAATCCTAGCTCTAATGGACTTTCAAGTCCTTATTAAAGAAAATGAAAATAAATGGAAATAATAAAAACAAATAATTATGTCTTCTTAAATCCATTGAATAGCACTTCCATGTCCATTTGATTTCCAAAATCGTTGCAGTCTCATTTTCTTGTTGTAACACATATGTCTTGGTGCAGTTAATTAGCCTATTGCTCTACTGAAATTACTCTACACACCTAAAAAGCTTATTTTTCACTTCTTTGTTGCATAACTCCAATATTGAATGCCTATAAATAAAAACAATATAAATTAATTTATTTAACCCATTCATATATATAAAATCCAAAGAAAGTATACGATGAAAATATATGAAAATATGTACCCATCAATCAAGTCAATAGATCACGACTAACACAAACATTAAAACTAGGTACAATTTTGTTAACCATTAAATTTGAAAACAAACCGATAGTCGTGGTCAACTTTCTTTATTATTAAGGATGCAAAATCAAAAAGACGTTAATTACGCGAATGATTTGCTTGTGTAATGGTAAAAATGTTTGTTGTCATTGCTTATGAGACATGTCACGAGCGTCTCCAAAGTAATATTTCATAAATGCTAATTATATTCAACTTTTTAAAACGAATAATTTACATGTTGTCAACGGCATCATGATTAATAAATAGTGATCGAGTGTAACATTAGACTTCTTATGTGCAAGTTTTACAGATAATTCTCCAATATTAATGTTAGATTTTTTTTTTCTTTTGTGAAATATACAGTCTATAAAAATTGGTCAAATAGCATACCTGCACTCCTCAACCAATATAATAAAAAAAACATAGATAATTAAGCATTTAAGTCATATAAGAAACCAAAATTTAGAAAACACTGTAAATTATTGGAACGAGAGCAAGCCTAAGTGCAATAAAAATGTTGTCAATTGTGATTAAAATGTTACAAATCCGTGTAAACGACCTACAAGAACCCGAATTTGTGAAACTTGTATTGTACAACTCAAACACTAATTCCTTCTTCATCCTTCTAAAGATTAAAAAACCTAGACGGGGACGGATTTGGATCCTCTCCTAAGCAGGGATCCGAATCCTCCTGGCCCAATAACAATGACCGTTGAATTTTGATCAAACCGTTACAATTATTATAACTTTTAAAGAAACCCTCTATTTGTAACCTTTGAATCAAAATCTAACGGTTCGTGTTATTGGGTCAAGAGGATTCGGACCACCTGTTCAAGAGAGGATCCAAATCCGAAGGGGAAGCCATTTCATGCCACCCTGGGATTTGGGTATATTCTACCAAAATGTTTCACAAACAAAGAGGCATATTCAGTTAAATATTAAATAATAAAAAAATAAAAGAAAGAGGCAAAGACCGTTGGTTACAAATCAACAAAAAATACGCCATTGCTTCTAGTCATTGCTGCTTCTAGTTGTAGAGCCTCTAGCCGGAAGAAGAAGAATCCACCTTCCACCTCTGAGACTCTGACCACCTTCCTTTGTTTTCAAACAAAACAGCGTAGAACGTTGTGGAATCGGTCAGTTCTCTGTCCTCCCCTAATTATCACGTCACGCTCGCATTCCCTCCCGCGAAAAAAAACAATCGAAGATTTCAGATTTTGCAGGTTTTTCAGAATTTGGGTTTTGATTTTACCTTTAGAATTTGCAATCGCGTTCGAAGAATTAGACAAAGAAAGCAATAAAAGCGCGATGGTTGAGGCGGCGGCGGCATCATCGTCCTCAATCTTCACCAACTACCCTCTCCTCTCTGCTGTCGTAGCTTTCTCCATTGCCCAATCCATCAAGTTCTTCACCTCCTGGTACTTTTCTCTCTCCCTTTTCACCCATTTCTCCGAATTTGGATCCGACCCAATTCCTCAATTTTCGGTTTTTGCGTTGCTGCATGATCTTGTTCTTTATTGACCTTTTCAATCATTCAATTGTACCCAAAAAAAAATTTTTATATTAACATTTGGGTTTTACCCAGATCTTGATTCTTGCGTAGAAAAACGTAATCTTTAATCAAAAAACATGCTTGTATGGTAATTTGATTCCTGTAAAATATTGGCCACATTTTGATGTTACAATGGTAATTTGATTCCCGTGATATTGGTATATGGAAATGAGCCTCTGTGTATAAATTATTTATGGGAAGTTGTTCTTTCCTTTTGTGATTGTTGGTGTTATTATTTTATCCTAAGAGTTCTTAAACCTTGATAGATTTGCAGGTACAAGGAAAGAAGATGGGATTTCAAGCAACTTCTTGGATCCGGTGGAATGCCTTCATCTCATTCGGCGACTGTTACTGCTATTGCTACAGCCATTGGGTTCCAAGAAGGCGTCGGCGGATCACTCTTTGCAATTGCATTGATCTTAGCATGTGTGGTAAGACCCTTCACTTCTTTCTGCAGCGTTTTGCAGATAGCATTTGGCCTTACTTCTTACAGCAATTTGTTTACTTTTTAAAATGTGAAGTTGTCATTTGGGCTTACGTTGAACTGAATTTTATATCAATCCAGCTGAATATGTGTATCCACATATCTATATATTCACCGACTTAAAAGCATTTTAAAATGAATGATAAAGATTTGTTGTTGTCATGTTTTTGAGATTGTACAAGTCAATAGGAGATCTCTAATGTAGAAAATTTGGTGGCAGGTGATGTATGATGCAACCGGTGTAAGACTACAGGCTGGACGCCAAGCAGAGGTTTGATGTTTTTGATCTCCTGGATCTCTTTGAGCTCTTTCCCACCCTTTCCTTCGTTTTCTTGAGTTTCTGTATCAAAACACTCTGTCTAAGAATTAACTTCGTCGAAACTTTGATGTCTGAATGCCATGTTTTTTCATGTTGTCCTCATAAAATTCAGCTTTATGAGTATCCTATTCAAATTTTGGTTGATTTGGTTATCATGCATTAACATTGGATATGAATATTCTTCAGGTTTTGAATCAAATTGTATATGAACTCCCTGCTGAACATCCTTTGGCTGAGAGCAGACCACTTCGTGAGCTTCTCGGCCACACCCCTCCTCAGGTCTCTATATTGCATTAGTTTGTGCTCTTAAAATTGTTTAATGGATGATGTATCTACGAGTATAGGATACCGAAAACTTTGATGAAAAGAAACCTTTTTTATGATGATCCTTGTTCCTGTTTGACAGGTTGTTGCCGGCAGTTTGCTTGGAATTGTCACAGCTTGCATGGGCTATTTGATTACTATAACAATCGGTCATACGACATGATCCTGGAGCGGTTTACGTCCACATAGATAGTGATATTGTGGTATCATCTCTTAGTGCCACATCTAATATACATTTGGATTGCGAATTGCAGATCCATCTTCATACGCGGTATTTCCCCCAACGTTGAAGACATAGGCCTTCTTGTCTATAATTCAGTTACCATGTCTTCATTCTGTAAAAAAACAATTGTTTGCAAGATGTAATTTGATCGACTTAAAGTGTTTTTAGCGACGAAACGGTCTTGTTGAGACGATTAGTACCATGCTCGGTTGACTGAAGATGACCGTATTTTGCTTTGGTACTACCTCACGTAAAGGTCCATATTTGCCTTTGTAATCCAAGCAAGGCATAAAGTACAACTTTACTTTTACGATGCCAAAAGTTGCCACTCGTTCATACATTCAATTGCTTCGAAACCAAAATCTCCTCAATTTTGAGAGCGGAGACTATCATGTGGTACTCGGTAATTATGCGCAACTCGTTTGGAAATGTTTTTAAAATGACTAAAATCGTTTTTGATGAAATCGTTTTTGGGTTCCAAAAGCACTTTGAGTGTTTTTTGCAAGAAGCACCTTAAGTGTTGTTTCATGATTCACTTGTATTTTTACCAAGGGTTGATTCTAAAAGCATTTTCATCAAAAGTACTTTTATTTTATATGCACTTCCAAACGAGTTACATGATGTTTCTCTTCCTTAGTTCAGATTTTCCCTCCCGTGAAGAAAAAAGGTAAGCATGTTTGCACATCCCAAAGCGTTGGGAGGTAACCAATTCACTATCCAAGAAGAATTGAAAACAGTTCAACTAAGGAAGCAATTGGAGTTAACTACGGGAAAGGATTTCTGCACACATGTTTTCACCTTATGGACACCATTCGTTCTTTTAGATATTAAATTCTTTCTTTATATAATAAAAGAATCAAGGACCATCGTTAAGAGTGTCTGAATATAAATAAAAAATAAAAAAAGATGTACAAAAATCATTCCCCTCGACTTATAGAAGGATAATACTAGATTTTGAAGATATAAGATTAGAGATAAGATGGGGGAAGTTGAAGATTTGTCGGTCGATAATTGCTTGTCTAATTCAAGTGGAGCTTCTGATTGTCCCTTCACCATTTTGATTGTATCATGTTGGAGTCTTTGTGAGTTGGCCCTCTTATTATCTTTTCGAAGCTCACTCCCTCCCTCCTTTACTTGTACGGTGCAGAGAGAGAGAGAGAGAGAGAGAGAACATAGCTTACTTGATTACAAAGTGACATACGTAAAAATACATTCTGTTGCAAAATGTCGAATGTTACGACAAACCTAATACGTTACTCCTGCACATCAAGATCACTTTTATTTCGATAACAAATGTCATGTGTCAAGTCAATTGGTTTTAGTATGTGGTTTTATTTCGATAACAAATGTCATGTGTCAGTTTCTTGATCTTTAGTATGTTGTTTTATGCCGAGAGTAGCCGAGAATACCCTTCTCATTTCCGTTATAGGGTCACGGACAACCCCTGACTTCACACGCCAAGCAACATGCTCATCCGGTCGAACTAAGATGGCTCCTTTGTCATTCATTTGGCAGATATCCCACCATGATGACGAATTTGGTGACTTTTTAACTTCCACGAGGTCAATGTAATTCTCCCAGGGTGCCAATGATGCCTTACTCTTTATTTCGACTCCCTTAACACTGCCGGCAGGCCACAACACGCACACCCTTGCAGAAACTTTGAATTCCTCGGCCACTTTGAATGCAGCATGAGCAAGATGGTAAGACGGCTCGGTTGGCGATATAATGAGGAGAAACTCGACCTTGTCTCCAGATATAAGGTCCAGTGTAGAAATAGTAACCTACAGAAGAATACACCGTCGAGGTGAATGAAAATTGGAAATACAATTAATCTTCTAGAAATCTGTTTTGACACTGGCATAAAGAAGTAGTTGCTTTGCGTTATTACTTTTACTTGGGAACTAAAACATAAAGCTTCGTGGCTTATGGAGCCACAACCCGCCAACACAGACCGAGATAATTTCACCACAAGTGAAAAAGAAAACAATTGGCAACAACAGCAAAAAGACATATATTATGTAAACATTTGAAAGAAAACAATAGCAACATACCTCACTTGAGGTATCTGACAATATCCTCACGTTCATGTGGGGGAGCCTTGCACCTGGAACCACAGAAGGAACATAGTCCCTCCGGCGACCAGTAGGTCCTTCTGGAGCACTCATTCCACCATCACTATCAGGGATAAGTGCACCTTCTAGATACCTAAATTGACAAACACAAAATGTGCTTGTTCAGTCAATGATGGGTTTATAAAATTGGAAAAAGCATATTGATGAGTTTTCATCAAGTTTCAGATCCAATTCTACAAAGCAAAAAATTAGTTTTGCAATTCAAGTCTCAGAATTCAAAATAATCTCGAGTCAAGCTCCAAGAATTTGAAATTAAAGCAGCTTGAATAATGTGATACCTAAAACCAAGATCCTCTGCTGGGAACTGGAGTTGGAGGCTCTTTCCTTCTTCAAATATGCGCCTTAGCTTAGCAAGCCTTGACGACCCAAGTGGGTTGTTTTCATTCAAAAAAGATTCCGATAGCTGGGCACGACCTATTGTGAAAATTCCATCCAAAATGGCCCTCTGTAATTCAGATGGTAAAATGGAACCAACCCCCTCATTTATGACGCGATGCACTGCAATTCAAGAAGGAAATTAGTAACGAAATGTCTCCAACAAACAAGGAAACTAATATGCAATAAAGTAATAATAGATTGGTTTACCTGAGTTTGCAACAGTTGGATCAAGACCAAGTGCAGCAGGAACAGCCATGGCTGCTTTGAAGTTCTCAATACTAAGTTCTGTATTGAAAACAGCAATCTGGAAAAAAATGCAAATTTTGATGATTAAGATCCATTCTAATTCACATTAAAGTTAAAGAATAGAAATGAAGGAGATAAAAGCCAATACCGGCCTACGTTCTGTTTCATAAGAATTAAGTATTGAAGTCGGTGCAGTACCCTCTACTACCGAAGCTATTTTCCATGCAAGATTATGAGAGTCCTGAATTCCAGTATTCATTCCTGTATAAATCACATGAAAGGCCTAAACTCATTTGAATGATTAATTCCAGGCGAGTTTCCCTTATTCGCATAACAAAAATAAAAATACTAACCAAACCCTCCGGCAGGAGGGAATCGATGAGCAGCATCGCCAGCAAGTATTATTCGGTTGCCACAACTTAGAAACTTCTCCGCAACTTCAGCATGCATAACCCATGGTTTTATGTCAATCACATTTATGTCTCCTAGCTCTCGACCAACCAACTTGAAGATTATTTGCTCACATATCTACAAAACTTTAAACCCTTTAAACTGAGCAATTACCCACAATGAAGAAAGATAATCTCATCATGGCCACAAGAATATGCCCTTAAACTTAAGGGTCAGTCATGAGATCAAGTAGAACAATTTCCATTAAATTAGCTTATTTGCAAAGAAAATACCTGGCGACTGAAATCTTCAAGGTTTTGCTGAGGTGGATAAAACGGAATCTGCCAGACGACGAGAGATAATGAGTGCAATTTCACATTTAGATCCCCAAACTTGTTTCCAAAAACAATTTAACGCCTGCAATACCTGTAATACAAATTCCCCTTGCTCGAGATCATGAGCAACAAGGACCCCTATAGCTTCAGTATTGAAGATGAAAAAAAGCATGCCAGGTCTCTCACAGAGTAAATACTTCCCAAGACCTTTGCTCAAGAAATGGACACTCACAAGCTTCTGTAAGTCCTTTTCACCTCTCATATCCACTCCAGCCAGCTTACGTACAGTACTTCCAGCTCCATCTGTACCAACAAGGATATTACATCTGATATTCCTTTCCATACGCTTCCCATCCTTGAGAAAAGATGCAGTCACAGAAACAAAATCATCACTCGCTTTGATGGAAACACACTCATGCCCCATTAATAGTTGCTTTTCCTGAAAGGTTCCATGGTTGAGGCCTTCCAACCCATCAGATGTACAGAACTTGAAGCTGAGATTTTCAAGCTGCTTAAGTAGTAAACTAATCAGTTTGTACTGTGAGAAGTGTGCAACAGAGACCGGGCTGACGACTTGCTCAAAATCTGAGACAAAGTGAAATCAAAATGAAACTGCTAACGTACCAAATCCCAAAGTATATTTATAAATGTTTGAAAATTTTGCATACATGGGAATGGTCATTGTATGGAATATCTCAAATAATTAGAATTTCTTGTTGTCTAATCTCAAAATCCCATAAGTAAGACCTAAATGCTGTGTGCCAAGTAAGGAAAAAATGGAATAATAAAGAGTTCAAATGCACCTTGGGGTTGCATATGGTCAACCGACCCAAGAATTGAACCATAGAGCGAAGTGCAATATATGAACTTCCTCCATAAATCTACTGGTGGTTGAGACCTCTGGATCTCCTCCGCCAGGCCATCCAATTTGCGAAACACCTGCTAATACACAAGTTCAAATGAAGCTTGAAATCCCTCAATAAAATGAAGCTTGAAATCCCTCAAATAACTCATAATTTAATTATATCTCCCAAACATGAAAACCAACCTCCATGGATCGATTGTTGATGAAGTGCGCCTGTGGATGATTCGAGAAAGTTTTGCTCTTCTCCACAACCGAACATTTGACCCCTGCAAAATGATACAATGCATGATTATGTCTCAAGTAAACAAGACCTAGTACATTTCATCTGATAAAATTTCTTGCAAAAGAAGCGAAAAGTTATTTACTTCCAACAAGAAGTTTCACATTCTATGAAGCCCCATCTCAAACATCATTCCAAGCACCTCCAGATAATCTCAAGCATGATGTCAAATTAAAAAGAGTAATAGCACAGCATTTGCACGAAAATTCGACAACTCGAACTTACTACTCCCTTTACAGACAATTTGATTATAATTACTTTTTTTGAAAGAAAAATAATAAAGTACGTATCTTTGAAGGTGAAAATATTAAAAATTGCTAAGTAGAGCATTATAGAGTTTTCCTTCACCCATCCCACACTTTCTAGGCAACCAAACAAGGCCTAAGGACTGGAAAAACAATCGGTTAGGACAAGAACATACCTAGCTTTGTTAAAAGTATGGACAAAACGAGACCCACAGGTCCTGCACCGACAATCAGAACCGGAAGCACCGTATCGTCTCCATTGTTGAAAGAGTCCGATGATAAGGCTCTGCTATGCTTGTAGCCAAATGGGTATGCTTGTATTCTGGCATTGGCTTTGTGTAGGCCGCTAAAACTCCTGAACAACCGCGAAACTGCCATAACCCAGAAGCTGAAACGACGTTCAGAGCATCGCCTTATATGAAGAACGGGAGCTTCAATTTGGAGACGAACTGCAACGGCTCAATGCGGCTGAGAAACGGCTTGGTGAGGTGAGGGTGTGGAGCGGCTGAAATACAGCTCCGATATGGCTTGGTGCATTCAGACGCTTATCGTGTTCCGAACTGGTTCGACCGTTTGGCATTCGCTTGTTTGCAGTTGCCGACGGTGGGAAGACGGCGGAAAGGTTTCAGACTTGTATGGAAGAAGATGACCTTGTATAAATAGATAACGGTGTCGTTTTAGTTTTAATATTTGCTAATTAGCGAATCTCCGCCTCTCCCAAATCAAGATTCTTCGAGTTTTCACGCTCCCGAATCCCTCCGCCGCCATATCCGTGCTTCATAGATCGCCATTGAAGTGAGGAACAAGAAAGATCAAAGAGTGGAGGAGTAGTAGTAGTTGCTTTGGTGGTTGGCTTGGGCCTTGGTGGGTTGGAGAAGGTCGGTTTGAGGGACTGGACTGAATACTTTTGGGCTTAGGTTTGATTTTAAATATTTTGAGCTTGGGCCCAATACATGTGTAAACTGCTCATGTGTGTGGCTTTGGGTGTTCCTTAAATAATGTTTGGTGCACGGACATTAGAGAATTTTTAGCGTGCCGGAAACATGGTCTCGTGCACTAAGTGTTATAATATAAATGGTTGGATATTTGTATTATAATACTTGATGCACCAGGCTGTATTCTAGGCACACATCAAAATTAGCCCATGAACATCGAGAAAACGAGGCTATTTATGGATGAATTTTGAGAAATTAGGAATCAAGGGGTCAAAGTTGTTGGATATTGCGTTGTTGTAATGCCAGGCTTATACGCATTTTGATTTCGTATGTGTTAGTAAACAAAATAAAAAATTTAAGCTGTATCAGAGTCAAAATGTGTTAGCAAACGCCTAAGATGCTAAAGATGAGATTAAATTTGTTGCTCATATATTCATAAAGCGCAAAGGGAAATAAATTAAATGTAAATTCATTAGAATGTTATAACTTTTCGTCCGCGAAAATTTTCACTTTAGCATAATATTATTATGATTATTATTTCCATTGGAAAAAACTTTACCTGCAACAAAATGACGAGATAATTGTGCATACAAAATCACTCGTAACTAGAAAACAAGCGCATAATGGTGTTGCAAAAAATAACAAATTAACAAAGTGTGGGGTGTGGAATTTAATAAGAATCTCACTTTATATGTTATCACTTATTAACAATGCAAATGGAAGCAAATGCATTTGCTAACATGACCCTCATGTGATGTGATTTATTGTCAAATTCCAAATCGCCACTGCTCACTTCCCACAGAGCAAGTTCATCCGTTACCCAAAGCCCAAAAAATCCCTTCCGTCGGTCCTTTTTGTGGAGGGCAATTGATGACAAGGCTGCCGTCAGCCTCATGTCACAGCCCGTCCCGGGATTTTTCATTCCGAGGACGTGAAATTTCAAAAATGACCTTAAACGAGATTAAGGTGTGTAAAGAGATGACATTTGTTTTATTTAAAGTTCCTAAACTATGGTTAATTTGTGTTAGGGACTAAAACTAGGTTGTAATGTTGTGTTTGGGTTAAGGTGGGATCCTCATACCTCAAAGCACTCCCTAAAACCCGTAACCTTTCCTTCTCTCTCTTCTTCTTCCATTTCAGATCTCTCTCTCTCTCACCCTCTCGAACACACGGCAACCACCAAGACCACCACAAAAAACACCCTAAACTTCCACCAACGACGGATTTAAGAGTGCCATCGTACTCCTGAAGACCATACGATCACGATGATACCCATTTCAAGTAAGTTTCACTTCGAAAACCCTAGTTTCTAAAGTTGCCGTGAATGTGTACTGTTCATGAGCTTTGAATTGGTTGTGTTTTAGGCCAAACCAAGCTCATAGTGAGCTTTAGGAAGTCCCAAGGATGCTCGGAGTGCTTCGTTGGAAGTTTTTGGACGTAAGAACACGGAGATCGACAAGTTCAAAGTTTGGCCGGAGCTTTCGAGGCATTTTCCGGCGAATCCCCGGCGAGTTAGGAGTCGAGGTAGGTATCAATCTCTTCGTCTCGTCAAGTACTACAACTTTCCTTTTTGTTTCACTCAATTTCGTTGAGTATTGAAGAAGTTATACTCATTTGAAAAATACCCAGTTTCCGGCGACCTCCGAGGCTTTCGAGGCAGTTTCCGGCCAAACCACGGCGAACTAGGTGTTGTGCAAGGTACCATTCTCTTTGTCTCTTCAAGGGCTACAACTCTCGTTTTTGAATCACTTGATTTCGTTGAGAAATGACAAAGTTATGGCAATTTGAAAAACTGCCCGAAAAACGGCCGCCGGAAAAACCAGTCTGGCGACCCAAGGAAGAAGAAGGTGCTACAGTAAAAAAAATAAATAAAAATAAAATTATTTTAAAAATATGTCGACGTCCGTGACGTCGAGTAGATCACCGTGGTATATTCATATACCCAAATTGAGCACCGTATGAGAAAGTTATTAAGGATTGTTGGTTAGGTGTTCGAATAACGTTTTATAGTTTTCACATTTAGGTAAAAATGTGAATTGACGATCCGACCGTTGGATCGTTACCAAACTTTGATACGTTGTAATACGTAATATTCGAGGATTATTGGAACTTACGGATTGGGAATCCGAGTTACGGATCTTCCGGAATTGGAATTGTAAGTCCATAATATAAAATGTTAACCGTCACTTAGTTTTGGAAATTGACGGAGATCCAACCGTTGGATGGTGATGAAATTTTAGGATGTTGTCCTAGAGATATATTGTGTACCTCTGGAAGTTATGGATTTAAAATCTGAGTGGCAGATCTTCCGGATCGAACTACGTAGTGACGTATTTTATATAAGTTATATATTCTATCGATATGAATTCTGAGGTTGGATTTGATTACTATTCTAGGCGGCGATCGTCGTGACGCCTTGATGTGTGGTGCTAGGGAGTTGTTGGACGAACTCCAGGTGAGTGGGCAGTTTTGTTTTCCGTATATATATATACTTGACGTTTCCCAGAAATTGAATTGAAATGAAAATATGTTTAAAATGAAATGCATATGAGTTATGTGGAAAAACGGGAAGTGAAATACCATGCATAGAATTGATATGAAAAGTATATAGAAATGTGAGTTGAAATGCCATGCATGAATTAATATATGATGCATATGTATGAATTGGTGCGGTGGACGCACAGGTAAGAATTGATTTATGATGCATATGTATGAATTGGTGCGGTGGACGCACAGGTAAGAATTGATTTATGATGCATATGTATGAAATGGTGCGGTGGACGCACATGTGAGTATTTATTTCTGTTATGATGATGTTGATGTATATTGAGCTCAAATCCTGCACCATAGTTTAGTGCTTATAGTATTCACCGCATCGCACGCTCGCCTTGGATCCAAGTAGATGCTAGTCGTACAGTCCACGCGGAGTGGGTACGACAGGCCAGTCGCGAGAGTGTTAGTGAGATTCCGACTGGTGGGTGACCTTAGATTATGTGCACAGATGATTATGAGAAGCACTAGAGCGTAACTTATGTGCAGAAGGCCGTACAGGTCACGCGGAGTGACTCCGGCAGAGTGTGTGAGAATGATAGATTTTGAGCTCTAGGTTCAACCGTACAGGGCTATTAGAGGGCCTCCGGTTGATTACTTTCTTGTACCTGATATGATTATTGTTGATGCATCCATACTTAACTGTTGAATTAGACATGGCATGGCATGATTGATAAAGAAAAATGTTGAGATAGTAAAAATGAAGTTTTGAGAATATATATGTATATTTATATTTTACATTTCTGGGAAAGTATACAGGTTTTACGGAGAGGGGTTACAATGCTTTGAGAAAAAATTGGATTTGAAAAGAATTGTTTTACTGACCCACTCAATTTTGGTTTTGCGCCCCTCCAGGTTAAAGAATAGCTGAGGTGTGGTGGCTACGAGGAATTCGACGGTGTTCTGACAGATTGGACAAAATTAGGACTCCCTTCGGGTGTATCAACTTATAAATTGTATCTTAAAGCTTCCGTACTGTGCAAATGGTTACGTCACTCTCACGTGACGGCCAGCATGCCCTCCTTCGGGACGGGGTGTGTCACCTCAAGCTTGAGCAATTTGAGCCCAAGCTTGTGCTGACGGGCAAGGCTACCATCAACCCCAAGTCTGAGCAATTTGAGCCAAGGCTTGCGTCGATGGGCAAGGCTGACATCAGCTACGTGTGTTTTTTTTTTTTTTTTTGGTCTGACGCATGTAAATAACGCGCATATTAGGCAAATAGGCTAATAGCTTCAGTTAGCGTGAGCCTTGTTGCTGTAGATTCAAATTTTGTGCCAACTGCTGACTAATGTGGCGAGATGAGGGTGGTTGGATTTCCAACAACCTAATGATCCGGGCCTTTGAGTTTTAATTGTAAATAATTTTGAAAAAGTTATTGTTGGGTCGCGTATCACATTTTGGGCCATCGTATTCAATAATTATAATATAAAAAAATCCAACGATCAAGCTTAATCTAATCATTAAAAATAAAAGAAAAAGGGAGAAAGATACAAAAAACTAGGAAATTTTTTTTATTGTATAAATATTGAACTATCTTCTTCATTTGCCTTATGGTCTCTCAACTTTAATCAAATTAGAGTAATAGTCCCTCAATTAAAAATTCATTACTATTGGTCCCTCAACTCATCAAAATGTGTAGTTATGGTCCTTTTATTCAACTTCGTCACAATTTTGTCAAAATAAGTTATGTTGGAATGACCATTGCTACAATTGGGGTCCCTCAACTCATCAAAACGTGTAGCTATGGTCATTTTCGTCAACTTTGTCAGAATTTTGTCAAAATGAGTTATGTTGGAATGACCATTAATATAATTGGGTTAAAGTTAAGTGATCATTCTCCAGTTGGATGAAAGTTGAGGGACCAATGGTAATGAATTTTTAGTTGAGGGACCATTGCTCCAATTGAGTTAAAATTAAAGGACCATTGCTATAATTTACTATTTTTAGTTAATTACGTTTGTTTGTAATGCTATATTTTGCTTTACTCTATATTTAAAATTAAATTTCAGAGTTAAACATAAATTTTTATTTTCAGATAACCAACTTACAAAATACACATTTAAACACACTTACAAAGCATTAAAAACCATATATATAGGCCCTTTATGCAAATGAATCCCCATTTTAAAAAAATACGGTTTAGGTGTAGGGTCTACTCTACATCGAACTTTAACGATCCTTTGTAAGTCTCGATTCATAAATCATCCTTGCAAAAATTCAATTCAATTCAAAATTATTTGCCTATTCGTTAATGTTTTTGAACCCAATTAAATGTCTTAAATATTTCTGATTTAGTTAATATTTTGTAAAGATGATCTATGAGGTGCAACTTGAAAAATAGA